CATAAATGATGCCTTATATCTAAATATTAAATATTTTAGTTTCTGAATAAAATCCAAACTCGTTTAGAATCTAGTAACACTCCGATTTTTTAAAAAAGCAAATGCTATCGAAAAATGTCGTGAATTTGCCCGCCCTGTATTAAAACTTCATTCTAATTTAGTGAAAAGTATAATTTCTCCGTAAAAAACGAAAAACATAATTAAAAAAATTTTTTTTTTACTACTGAGTTTTTTTTAGTGTTGTTGCATTGAGGGATTTATTATATTAATTCAATAGTTTCTGTATCCTTACTTGAAATATTCGAAATAAAGTTTCACAAGGTCCTCAAAATATAAATAATTTCAAGTTCGGAAAGATATGATTTATTTCGATATGTAGTTCCCCATTTTTCCTTTGACCGCATGCCTAAAACACTCGTTTTCAATACTCTAGATATTTTTTGAAGTATTTGCTAGAGCTTCAGGAAACTTGTACAGTTCTTTTTGTCTTAGAAATCATTTTATAAGAATATAATATAACCTACCGATAGAAGCTCAGTCATAAACATCTTTTTGTGCACAACGGCGTTCTTTTTATGGAACCGATCTCGGAGGTGCTCAAGCAATATTTGTTTAATATTATGAATAAATGCCGAACCGGCACCTTAATAAATTATCAAGGTTTTTTTCCGTTGTGGTATTTGTAAGAGAATATATATTTTAAATATTTTTATCCTCCTATGGCTATGACTTTTAACTTCATTTAAGGAAAAGTACCCCACACCATTGCTTTATATATTATTTAAAGGGCATGGATATGTCCGTCTAAAGGGTATGGGTGTGTCCATCCCTCAGATACTAATTTTTTCCTGACGTGCTCCAATATTAGTTTTCAACTGTATTTGTTGTATTCCGCAAAGTTTGAGAAATCATGTAGTCTTCTTTTTTTGGGTTGCTCCCACTCTTTTCCACATGCTTGCGTGCCTTCAACCAAATTTCACTGTCAATTCACTCATTTATTATTCATTTAGTTTTTTGGCATTTCTTTTGTTACCTGTGTTTACTTTTTAGTGCTTTTTTTACCTTTATTTGTATATATTTATGTAGCTCAATGCTGCATGCATTGTCCTGGATTGCCCTTCAATTATTCTATTTCTTTACATTGGTTGAAATATAAATATTAAATGTCATAATAGCCGTTGTCAATTACATACACATTTACATATGTACGCACAAAGCGCTGAAGCGGAAATTAAAAAAAGCTTTCACAATGGACACGCACATTTATGTGCTTGGGTATAAACTTCTTCTCTTTTCCTTTTAAATACTCTTGAGGACTACAACTGAAAATTGACATTTAACTGCTACCATAACGAGTGCTTTACTAGTTTCAAATTTAAAGAGAGGGAGAGTGGCACGAAAATAAAGATAGAGGGAGAATCAGCGAGCGGCAGACAGAGAGAGAAAGAGACAGATACAGACAGAGTGAGAGTGAGGAAGAATGAGAGTGAGGAAGAGTGAGAATATTATAGAGCTGTTTTATTCAATGTAAAAGCGTGGTCCCGAGCGCTAAGTGAAAGCCTGACTGTCTTCTCGACACTGCAGTACTTTTCAAATTTTGAAGATATTCTCTGGAAGCAATATAATTTGAAATTATTGCGGTAGCAATTCAATCTGAGAGATGTTATAGAGCTTTTTGCGCAACAAATTGTTATAGCATTAATGACATTCATGTTCTATAAAAAGCATTTTTCCCGACGATGATGAGTACTATAATTTTCTAAAGTTCGCACTCAGAGTCAATTCATTATTCACTAATTTGACAGATGATGCAGGGGGTTTTCAGAAACAAAGGATGAACGAATCGAAGTATCTTCTATTATGCCCGGTTATACACTTATTTGAATGAGGTGAATTGTGTGTGGAATAAAAAATTAAATTTTAAAAAGTTTAGAATTTTATAACCACCCTAATATATCGCTTACATCGACATATTTCTTTAAATAACCACACGCACATAAATTCTCCAGTAATGTGTACACAAAGCATCCTGTCACTCAATTTATACCCACTTACTGTACACGTGTGTGCGTGGTCAAAACAAATTTTAGCAGCACTCGGGAGATTTGCGCAGTGCAAACTGCCGCTTCGGTGTTTTTGCTTCACAGCTCATGCAAATTTTTTTCTAACATACTTTGTGTTTAGTTGCAAACTTTTACACCATTTTAGTCTGTTTGTTCATTTGTATACTCTCGCCACATGTTGCTACAGAATATAAGCGTTTTTTTATTTTATTTTTTTGAACAGTTTTAAAGTAATATATGGAGGAAGAGACCCACAACTGCTGCTCAGTGTACTAAACTTGGAATTTTAGATGCTGATATAAATACATAATTAATGTGGAAAGTGAGATTTTAATTATAATTAGATGCTGATGGCTGGAAGAGAGTGTCGTTTCCTTTGTACTTGTGGAACTTATAGAAGATATGAGCCATTTCGAATCAAATATTTAATGATTTTTAAACATTTTTAAGAGTTTAAAAAAATGTGTAAAAGAGATAATATTTAATTGACCCCAGCAACATTTTCAGTAAAATAGTCTTTCCTTCTAATGAAGAGTCATACATACATACATAGTAGCAGAGTACTCATATTTTATTAAGAAATTTAATTAGCATATTTTTTCAACACATCTCTTAAGTGATCGGTCCTAGTTTTATCTCTTACGAGTAGTTTGATCATTATACTTTGTAGAACTTGAAACGTTAATTGTTTGTTTGCATAATATTGACCCTTACTGGCACCTTTCGAAAATCTTGACATGCCTATATGGACTCTGTTGCGATATTTACATCTTAATAATCCGCTTTGATCTGCACGATTTCTAAGTGCAATATGGTTTGCAAATAATTGTGAATACAAGTGTATTCGTTTTTCGTTCTCGTTCTGCGAAAGAATCATATCTACATCTTTTAGCTTCGATAAATATTTTTACACACCTTCTTTAATGAAAACTATGAACCGTAATTGACCATTATTTTGTCGCTTAGTGTATTTTAATATCTCTAAAGAAAAACATACCTCTCTTAGTATATTCTTTGCACCTTGAATACTAAGCATTTGAAATGTGTATTCACCTATCTTACTATATGTAACCTGCTCAGATAAGTTTATATGCTAGCCAGCAATAAACACGAAATTGTGTTGCATAAATTATTTGTAAGCACCCACCTGTAGTCAATAATAATAAAAATGAAAAATGCATTTGGATAACCACCTCATAAATTGTGTCAGTGAACCGGTTTTCCAGGGCAAACGAGCTACTGAGTTCAGTGACAGCTAAGACTCTGACTTTTCTAAAGTCTGCAGCTGCTAAAGAATGTTGTTCAATTTCAAATGCAATGATATCAAGTAATGGTTGAAACACAAAAGAAAACTTTAATTTCACCGATTATATATCCACTTTATGTGTATTTATTTATATATGCATATGTATGTAGTTTTTCGTTAGATGCAAACAAATATGTGGCAACAATTATTGAAGCGATCCAAAATTTAACCAATTTAAGGCAACCCATTTCCAAACTAGATGTACTTTTTATTGGATTATTGCTGCATTTAATTTCTATTCTATCTATTTGTGTACCACTATGTACATAGCCTTATGAAAATTGCTTCTCCAAATTGGTGTAAAAATTTAAGGGTTTTAGATAAAAAGCTTTTGAATCATTACTTCGTACGGTTTTGTTAGGCCTAAGACACGTTACATAGTGTAGAGTAAACGAAATTTTGGGCTGAAATGAAATTGTATAATGAAAATTATGAATATTCGGAGACCTTCTTTATCGAATATATAGTGGATCACTGTTGAGTACATAATTATTCTTCTTCGCAGTATTCTCTTACTTCAAACACTCGCAAAATAACTTTATCTATAGCTTTAAAGTTAGATAAATAGATGCTTTCTAGCGCCATATAATGAATATTAGTATACTTGTACATTCTCAAACCTTAATTTATAAGAAAGAAATGTCTTAGACAACTATTGTCGTATTATTTTGACGCTTGCTCAATTTTTTTCTGTAAAGTCGCGGTGGAAAACACTTACTGGATATAGGGATTTTTCCACATTTTAGGGTTTCTGGTTTCTTGGAACAAGCACACTTACTACTTACTTGAGAAAAAAAAAGGTTCGCAAATGCAATTGTTTTCAAATTATATCCACTTGTCCATTGTCTCTACTTCTCTTATCAATTTCTCTTGATTTTTTTTTTCATATTAAGTAAATATTAGTTCTTTTTGGAAGCGGGAACACAAAAAAAGAAAAATCGAATGTAAAGTGAAACAATTATTGATAGTTAAGTGACCGTCAATTAGTACGCATATCAACTGTACATTAAGATTGACAGTTGCTCTCCAGACACTTGTTTTCCCGACTGTGAAGTGCTTTGAAATCTCTACCATTCGACTGCAACACATTTGAGATTCCATTTCCAATAAACCCAAATCTTATTGGTGCTTTGTCAGACGTCAGGCGTCAGTCGTTAGCTGTCAGCTGTCACATGTTGAATACTTTCACCGTTACGACATGCACATTTGTGAGACAGTAAAGCGGCTTTATCGCGGCACAAGTATTGTTCACTCATTTGCGCTGCTTCTTTTTGAACTGAATTGAGATTTTTGGGCTCATAAACGTAAATTCGTAAGCTTGACGCTTCGGCGTTATGTTTTGTGGCAGCTCTTAACGAGAGTGCAAAGTTTTGCGTGTGGTCTTTATAGCTTATAACACAGTGTGGCATGCCACATGCTGATGTACGCCGCATATATTTTTAAACTTTACAAATTTTTTGTATTCATTATTTTTACTATGTGCCAAAGTCGAAACGCGCACACATACACACTTGCGTTGAAAGCTGAAGGTGTTGGTGCGGGTGGTGGTGGCTGGTTATTGCGACATTCATTTGCTGCTTGCCCCCAGCAGCTGGAAGCTAATCTTAATTTTTTTTTTCAAATTTTTACAGATGTGCTTTGCCAAATGCGAAGAATAGCAACAATTTTTAAATATTGACAAGTTGAAAATTCCAACCACGTAGCTGTAACGAGTGAATGTGCAACAGAGCGTGTAAACCGATGAGTGTAAAAGCGGCAAAAGTGTTAAAAATTAGTGCAAAAAATATGCGGCTAAGTTAACAGAACAAAAAAATAAACAAGCAGTTGTGTGGAAAAAATACGAAAATAAAAAAAGAAAATAATAAACATAGATAAAACGAATATTCAAAGAAATAAATAATAAAGGTAGAGATAAACAGAAAACCAAGTGCAGAAAAACATTTAAAATGTACAAGAGAAAGGTTTGAAGTGCGGTAGGTGTTTTATAGAAGTGACCAATGTAAACTGATGAATTAATTGTAAAAACAAACTAAAAAATATTTATTTAAAAAATTTTAAAATAAGTTAAAAACATTTAAAAAAATTAAACAAAAGTATTACTACTAAACAAGTTAAAAAAAAATAACAAAAAAAATTTTTTTTAAATTTTAAAATTAAAAATTGAAGAAAAAAATTTTAAAATAAACAAATTAAATAAAAAATTTGAGAAAAAAATATTAAAATAAAAAAATTAAAACTAAAAAACTTGAAATTTAAAATTTTAGAATTAGAAAAATAAGAATTAAAAAAACTACAATAACAAAATTAACATTGAAAAAAATTAAAATTCAAAAATTAAATTCAAAATAATAATAATTTAAAAAAATTTAAATTAAATCAATGCTCTAATTGATACCAACATTTGGCAGTGAGAAGTATATTAATGGATTGTGAGCGAATGTACCTGTAACTAAAATAACAAATAATTTTACTTAGTTTATGTGATCTATGTAATAACGAAATAAATATTACTAAAAAACTGTTAAATAACAAATTAATTAAAAAACATCGTTTTGGAAAAACATTCCAATGTAAAACTCCCAGTTTTCATATTTTATTGCAAAATAAAAAACCACATAAATTTCAAAAATTAAACTCAAACATATCTCAAAGAAAAACTAACGAAACAAATTACTAACTGTACCTAACCGAAAGCGTTGCAACAGTTAATAATTCACGCATAGACGAACCGCCAGCGTTGCAGTATTCCCAGCTGAAATAATTAATTGCAACAGCACCAAATTCTAGCCGACGACGCGTGCTGCCTTTGAAGTAACTCGCCACCGTACACCGAAACGCACTAAAACGCAGCGCATTCGGTGTAATTAATTAGCACCGAAATACGCAAATAACGGTGTGTAGCAGCGCAATAGCGAGATTTCATTTGAAAATCGTTTACTGTTAAACCACCAAAACGGCTAACGAAGCGCTCGCACTGGCGGCCATATCCGCGCCAACAACAACAACGCCAACATCTGCGTTGGCGACACCAATATCACCCACGCCAAGCGTTTCGACGCACTCACCTGTGGACACGCTACACCTAGCGGTCACAACACCAACGCTGGAAACATCTGTAGCAGCCGCAACGCCAATCGCTGAATTGTGCGCGGCGGAGGGGGATGTCAAGGAGCCAGTGGTGGTGTTGGACTTAGAATCGACGGAGGATAAAGGGAGTGTGACTGCATTATCAGTAGCCGAGACGGCAAGCAGAAGCTCAATTGACTGCACAACGGACGTTGCACCCGTTGTTGAGGGTGCTCAGCAAACCACAACCACTTTTGCGGTTGTCACTAAAGCACCATTTATACCTACCGCAACTACAACAACAAGTACGCCTACTAGCCAACACTCGAACGGGAATGCGCATGCGAGTGAGTCGAGCAACACGAACGGTAACAATAATAGCTATCCATCTGCAATCACCTGCACGAATAGCGGTAATACGAAGCGTTTAACGCCTACTGACTTTGCTAAAGCGGTAAACCATCAGAGCATCGGTCGCAACAACTACAACAAAGCGAAGGTGACACTGAAAATGCGCTTCAAGGTTGCTAAACGCATTTGCCAGCGACGAGTTCGCGCAAAGAATATCGATGAAAATTTTCCACAACCGCAGTAAGTTTACTTTGACACTTAGTTAGTTTTAGTTTTACAATTTTTATATGTAGGAGTCATTTTTAAAACATTTAATCGCTAATGTTTTTTCGTTTCCTGTAGGAATAGCTGACCGGTTGGTTCAGTATTAGAAAGTAGAATCTTTCTTGAGAGCAAAGACAGCATTGATAGTAGCTTTTGTTCGGAACTGTTTGCATAAAACTCTGTCGAGTTCTCTACATACTTCTTAAGTAACCGAAGATCTAAAATACATTCTCTATTTTTATGACAATCTTTCTGAGACCAAAAAAAAAATTGGTTACCATTAAGGTGAGGCCAATCGGCCTTAACGAATTTGCCAGTGTGTAGTATTTCCTCCTACCTTGAGTATGAAAATTACTCTTCCACTACTCAGACATGTACGTCATCAGTTCGACAAGATGGGGCACTCTCTTCTCTCTACCCTATTAGCGATCTTCTAGGTTCTTGCAAGCCGAGCGGGTTGGCTTGTGCGCGATCACTAGTAGAATATGCTCGTCCTGGAAAGCTTCTGGCAAGTGCGTGCACAAGAGGGCTCTTGCTCTTCCCATAACTGTATCAATCATACCTCTGGCCAGAGTTTTATGTAGCCTTACCACCTCTGGGGTCGAAGAGATGTTCTCACAAAATTTGCTAAAATTCTCTATTTTTGCTAACCTTATCTCCTTATAGTAGGTTGTCAGGTAGCTTTTATATTCTGCCCAGTTGCCGTTACCCTTTGCTTTGTTAAATAGCTTACGAACCGATTTTCTGAGTTACAAGAGTTAATTTGTACGTCAAGGGCTTTTAAGCCTGTTGGTGTTCGTTTTCAGTGGTCAGCTGCAGTAGTACGCGTCTATAATTACATATTTTATATTATTATATTATTTATATAAATATTGGTTTGTCTTAGTGATCCTGCTTTTAATCTGCACTAGCCGTCACACGACCGATTAGCTGATCTATCCTACTCAGATGAAATTTTAAAGTATTCCTTAAAAGTATCCCAGTTGATATTATTAAATTTATTGTATGTAATGGATAGGGGTTCTTGACCTCAACTCCCAATGCGAAACTGACGATTCTGTCGGTTTGTCATTGAACGCTCTGTTGATACTCTCCACTGCATGATCAGTACAATCGCAAGGTCGTTACTCAGGGTAATGTCAAGTACTACGTCCCTCGTGTTCATTACGAAAGTAAGAGCTCGTTACGCTTGTAGGTTGTAGTGCAAGGAATTAAAGGAAGCCTATTTTTTCTTCAGTGTTTCACCAGGCTTTTCACTGTTGCGGATGACACAGTCGATGAATGAAGTTTTCAGAATTCGTTTTTTTCATGTTTCATGTTTCAATTTAAGTAGAACCATTAACTGATCTGTAATAAACGACCATCACTTTTCTTGATGCAAGTCAATGGAAGTAAAATATTTTTGGAATTCCTTTGTCTTTAAACCAAACTATTTCGTACATAGCCCAAATTTGTCCGGATTGCGTTGGAACAGATACAATTTTGAGCCACTTGCACGGTCCTGGAAAAAGTGTTTTCCAATTGACTCATGGTTCATAGCTCATAACTTTTTTCAAAGTCTTTCACATCTCATGTATACTCTCTTTGATTGATTGCCAGTTTTTAAGCATTGCTCAATCTTTTAACAAAATAATACGGTGCCGGCTTACAAAACTTTTACCATCCTATTATCAAACTCAAATAAAAGTCCTAACTAAGATTTTTTCATAATAACTTCCTGATATTTTTAGGTACATATACATATATTAAAGTGATATACTTGCTAATGATTCACAGCTATTATATGGTTTCAAATCATATAAATTCTTGATATTGTATGTGTGTAAGCTCAACTCTTTCCGCGCGATAAAAAGTCTCAATTTCAAAGTAATACTCAAATTCTCAGCTTCCTTGAAACGAGGCGCCTTCATTTGAAACGAAAGCTTACGTGACAATCAGGCGCGCTCACAAACATTTATATATATGTATATACAAAACTGTTATATCTTCGTATAGGATTAATATACATATATATATGTGCACTTCGTTCACTTCCAAAGAAACATAAATATCCAACAAAGCGAGTACAATTTATAAATTTAACTTTCTGAAAATTACATTAGATATGTTTAGCACTAGAATAGAGACCTCCGCTGCGAACTGTGTATATGCGTCTTCGGAAACGACGATTAGGGGCGCTCGCTGACTGACTTTCGTGACGGCCAGTGGGTGTCTTCGTTACTTAAATGGCGCATTCATATTTGAAGAAACAGCTCAGCTGGTTACGCTTCATTGAGTTTCTCACGCGGGTACATGCAAAAAGTAAAAGATGAGAAGTAAAGAAAACAAAATAAAAATAGAAAAGGAAATATATCATATTATTTACAAAGTTTGCAGACAGATAACTCGAGCGGACCACTGACGGCCGGCGGCTGACGTGACATCTTGCGCTCTTCTCATGTGCTGTGGGTGAGACGGGTGGTGATAACGAATCGTTTGGTCCCGCTAGTTAGTGGGCGCTTTATCATGCGGCTATTCGTTCAGCTCAACTCAGTGCAATTCACTTTCAAATGGCACAAATATTTATAACACAATTACAAGCACGCATACACACTCGTTTATTTATATGTGTATACTTAATCTTATTTGCATTTGATATTATTTTAGGTGTTTTATTTTTTACGATTTGTATTTTTTATTTATGCTTATGATTTTTTTTTCATTTTGGTATTGTAGTTTATATTTATTTTTACTTACGCTTGTGTGTATAGTTGACCCCGTCTCAGTTGCTAGCCTCATATGACCGTCCATCACATCTGCTTTGATATTTATATATGTATATGTATATAGTGAAATCTATTTATTTGTCTATATTTTTATCCGTACGCATGATGAATTTAAATTATTTAAACTGTACACGCGTCATTAATTCGTGCAGCAGAGCATATTTATTTTCGTAACTTGCTACCGAAATGGTTTGCGTATGTGTTTGTATGTGTGTGTGTGTGTGTGGCATAAAAATAACGGTTGAATTCGAATTGATATAGCGTACAACAACAACGGATATATGGGAGATTCTGCTTTGATGTCTTATAGCATATATTATGTGAAGAAATCGTTTGAAGCACTTAGATTTAGCTAAAGGTGACATTCCTTTTTTATAAATATTGGTTATACCTAAAAATTAGCAAACACAAAAATAAAAGCGTTAACTTCGGTTGCACCGAAGCTAGAATATCCTTCACAAATCGAAAAAAGTTTCAAGAATTTGATTTTGATCTGTCGAAATCTATGTCAAATTTCTGTCAGATATCTCGTCAACTAAAAAATTTTTCCATACAAGCACTTGATTCCAATCGTTCATATGGCAGCTATATGTTATAATAAGCCGATATCGGCGATTCCAACAAATGATCTGCTACTTGAGAAGAAAAGGAATAGTGCAGAATGTCTGATCGATATCTCAAAAACTAAGGGACTAGTCCGCATATATTCCGCAGACGGGAAGACAAAGAGACTTTAGGGTATCTTCGACGTTTCCTTCTGCCTGTTGTTATGTCTTACAGAAAAAATTAATAAATTGAGTTACATCTTTATGAAAAACTTGATTATTTGCACATGTTATTATAAGCTCGAAATTCCATCCTTCCTACATGGCAGTCATTCTAAAATCCACCTCGTAGTGTGTTCTCAATAAATCTGTTAACTATTTTTAAATATTGCTTCAAAATAGTATCATATACCTATAAGCCATCCCTCTCGTCCAAATGTAATCTCCTAACTGTATCATGTATGGATATAATTATTAGCACACTTGACATGCTATATGACAGCTTATCAATAATCTAGACATAACATAATTAACACAATTTTACGAATTTATAAAAACTAAAAAAAAAAAACAATTAACAGTAAATCAACAGTATAGTTTAAATGCAAAGTGTTTGCCGAAGGCAATTCTAAAACACACAATTTCCTACAAGCTCATCAACCACAAATACAACAATAATTGACATTCATTACCTTAATCATCACACTAAATGTGCGTGTAGGCAAGAGAGAGAAACTAAGTACCTTTATTTCACCGCCTGAACTTGACGCGATGAATATCATAAGCGATAAATAATCAGAGAGCGGCCCACGCACTTCCGGACTCCATGGCGTATGCGTAACATGTAATTTCCTCTTCAAGATTTAATGTGTTGTGGAGCATATAAGAATGCATCAACTAACTGAAGACATACGAATAATGAATGTAATAAACTATTCATTATATGCGCCACTATTATACATTGTCATGTAAGCATTTACACGCGATTACATAAATATTATATATGGTATATATTTACGTGTGCATACCACACTATTTTTGAACTTCTAGTATTTAGTGAGCAATTTAATTTCTAACCGCCACTTCTCTAGACTTTTTTTTTATAAAATATGGCCTTGTCTTATAATATTGTCTTAGTGTTGCTTACTTCTCTTTTAGTTTATTCTTAGTCATATTTTTGCCGACTTGCATTCTTTGCTTTCTACTTATGAGACAGAGACTTTATTTATGTGTAATATTATATATGTGTACATTTGCCTACATACATGTTGTTTATATGCTTATTTCATGGTGAAAACTATTTTTAATACCGCGTACGCAACATCTACTTGCACATATATGTATGAACATATATTACTCTCTTATGTGGAAATATTTAATGTCTGCCGGCTTCTTGCACTTGGTTTGCTGACGCGGCAAGGGTATAACTATTTTTAGAACAATCTCATTTATTTCTTTCTTTTACTGGCGATCGACGTCATATAGTCTATATTAAAATAATTAAAAAAAAAATGAAATGCTAAGACTTTATCAGAATTAAATAAGGCGTTTCCAGAAGACCTAATGAAATATATATCTAAGTGATCAGCATGATGAGCTGAGTCAATTCAGCCATGTCCATCTATCTGTCTGTATATATGCGAACTAGTCTCTCCGGTTTTGAGAT